GTTTCTCTTTTCCACTACCAACAGGTTCAGTTTTCTTTTTTAGCCAAATGAAACTGCAAGCACGGCTTTATTTTCATGTTGTTTTTGGCAAAAATGGGAACATGAACTGACCAAAAATAGAAACGCTGCATACTTTTTAGCTTCCCATGTCCAGGAAGAACAAAACACACCAGGCAAACAAAAAGAATTTACAGTGGTAAGGGTAAATATCCTTCCCATTTTTGTTTTCAAGACCTATTAGAAGCAGAGGTAAGGAAATCTATTTGTTTAAAAAATATGATTTTTAAAATGACCACAATGTTCCTTTTAAACTGCACTGAAATACAAGATAAAGACAGGGTACTGAGTGAAAGAGTGCTGATGGCGCTTTTATTGTGTGATTTGCCTTGTTTTTTTCTGAAGTACTTCTTTTTAGCCGATTACCATGTATTTACAGTTAGTGTAATTATATCTAATTACTTAATTAGCATGAATACGTGTAATTACTAACTTCGAATATGTAATTATGTCAGGGCAGCCTGTAATAAATGAGGTTGAAAAAAAACCCTCATTAGGACTCATATGGAAGGACGGCTGCTCCACCCGTGTGGAGAATGCATCCCAGTCCCCAGACTGCGCCAGTCCTGGAACAGGAAAACACAGGCAGCTCCGGTTGTGTCTGGCAACAACCTCCACCAAAATCAAACCATTTGCCCCAAAAGTCTAGCTTCACAGCGCTGGTGAAAACCGAGCATCCACTGCTGGGAGACAGACAGGGATCTGCAAAGGATCGCAGATTCGTTTTCTCCTCTAAGTTTGGGTTTTTTTTATTCTTGAAACCTCTTTGGTTGGACAAGAAATATGAGAGGAGAGAATAGAATAAGTGCAAAACTGTGCTGTGGCATTTAAGTAAAGCTTGAGAGATCAGATCCAAGACTTATCTGCATCTGATGCATTGTGCTAATAATTCATTATTACTCTGAAAGTAAAACAACCTTCCACAACGTTTCTTCTGAAGCATTACCAGTCTTTCCCCCAAAAATTCTCCAGCTATTCGTAATTACCCATTTTGCAAATTTGATCCTGAACATCAGGAGATGAAGCTCAGGTTAAAAGTTGCTGTTACTGCCAAGAAGCCTATGTATGAAAATGGTGTCCTATAACAACTTCATGAACTTATTTCAAATTGATGTTCCCCTTTTTTCCACTGATCAGGAGCTATCAGTTGACATGATCTGACTTTTCCTGCCCAGAAGGACAGATAGCCATTTTCTGGGCACAAATGAGGGTAGACTGGATCATGTTTTGGATTACCAAAACCCCTGACCATAGGATGGAGCCACATGGTCCTACATCATATCTCTTCATCACATATTCTGTCCACAGTGCTTGCCACAACAAATCCTGTTCTTCTCCTCTTATGTGTTTATTTCCAAATATAGAGAGGTGCAAAATCATCACAACCTGTCGCTTCTTCTGCTGACATCTGCCAAGCAGATATGCCACTTGGTTTCTCTTCCATATGCAAAAGATCATGAGAAAAAGACTATTTTAGCTTATTCTTCTAAAATTGATTTATGGTTGGACTGTCCCCATTGCCAAGCTCTTTGTTTGACCCTCCAGGTAGGGTTGAGGATGGCTGAAACGGAGACTGGTTGCAACTTCTAGTGCTGCTCAGTGTGCCATGGAGTTATGGCATAAAGATATGGGGAGCATATTTTCAAGAACTCAATGCTTCATCATGAGAAAACAGGCTGGTGCAGTTTATTCCATGGCTCTTCGAGAAGCCCTCTGCCAGGAAGGGAAGGACCACCTGAGCCAAGCTGATTCCTCCTGCTCCTCTGAGTTAGGCAGTAGCAGAAAGGGCTACGAGAACTGCACAAAACCCATAAAGTCAGAGGAGAGAGCTGGTCCCTGTACCCTTCACGTCATCAACGGGAGAACACCACATCCCCAGTGAGGAACACGCCTCTATCTCATAGAATCATAGAATGGTTAGGGTTGGAAGGGACCTCAAAGATCATCTAGTTCCAACCCCCCTGCCATGGGCAGGGACACCTCCCACTAGAGCAGGTTGCTCAAGGCAGGTTGCTCATCTCCTTGAGGACATGCTAACGAGAAGAGCCCACGGGCCAGAATTGCACAGCAGGAGCAAGAGGGGCTGCAGCTCAGCGGGCAGGGAGCCGCTCTCCATATTTCAGCTGCAATTCCATTATGCAGAGCTAAGTGGCTGGGAATAAACATCCGTCATCCCTGCGTGATAAGCGATGTTTGCTAGTATAGAGGGTGACAGAAATCTATATCACATCAATGTACTATTAATACTGCATTAAGCATATAGAGTTTGCTCTCCTCATTGCAGCGCCGTAATGGGTATCGGCATGTCCTCAGCGCAGGCAGCATCCGAGAGCGCAGGGATGCTTGCAGGAGGAAGGAAGGAGGAAAGCTTCGTGATGGAGACAGAAATGGCTCGCTGAAGATGTTGCTCTAGCAACACCTCAGTGCAAAGAAGAGATGCTGGGTGCCACGGAGCACCTTTGCTCGCAGCTGGACTGCAGTTCTGTGGGAGGTGAGGGGGGTGGCAGAAGGGAGATGACAGCTCATCTCAATACAGGCTCAGCTGGGCATCGAAGCACTCCCCAGACCAGAGGACTTCTCCTCTCTACAAGTGACAGCAAATGAAGGCGTGTTTGTGTCCAAGCTCTGCACAGGGGGGGAAAGAAAACCCTCTGGCATGAAAACCATGGGGAGAACGGGAGCAAAAAATATTCTTCAGCTCAGGTTTAAGATGAGCAGAGCGCATCAGATCAAACAAACCTCTTACAGCGAAAGCTCCCCAAAGCATGCTTAATTTAAAAGGTGAATTATGAAACTTTCCAGCCTCAAGCAAAGCCACCAGTGAAGTTAGAAGTTTTGCCCAAGTCCTGGGGACTAAAATACAAGACACACACACAATCCAACCCTGCCTGAGGTCCTGAAGCCTGCGTTCTGCCCCACAAATGACAAGCATATTGAAAAAATACAAGGGCTTTCAGTCTGCCAGCATCTGCAGCTGTGGTTTGCTCCTTGTTAGCACCCAAAGGGGGTGTCTGTGTGCGGGGTTTGGTTTCAGCCCTGCTGCCTCACAGCCCTGGGATACCCAGAGCTCGGAAGTGGTGATTTGCTGTGGATTTCTAAGCGTGCCAGTTGTCACTAGTGCTGCTTTTCACCCCTATGGCACCTTTCATGGGAGAAGCAGCTCCAGATGCCACCCCCAAGCAACTCTGTGAACTCTTCAGATCCTAATCAAATAGCCCAGTGAAAGTCTGAGGCCAAATCCTGCTGCGAGGAGCTTCCCTTGCAACCCACCCAGCTCTGACAAGCCCCACAGGCCAAACGCTCGGAGCAAAACTCAGTCCTTTGAGGTTTAAGCTCTGCTACCGCACAGCTGCAACAACACCCGTGTCTTGCAACGGTCGGCGTATAGATTAAAGAGATTCGAGAGAGCACAGGATGGGAAGGAAAAAAAAAATAAAGCGGGGAAGCCCCCCCCTCCCAAGCCATCAGAGTTTGTAAATCATTTTGAGATGAGGTGCTATAAGATATGTAAAATATATAATTAACGGCACAGAAAAACCACGCTACATTCAGCTTCTCCGCTCCTGCCTAATCACCGCCCTCATCCTCCCCCTCTCTACAAACAGACCAAATTTAGCACATTAAAATGAAAATCAGAGGGAAGCCGAGCACGTTCATTGGGTACAACCCCACCACTCCAGCAAGCAAAGCACGGCGATAACGGCTCAGGCGCCAGCACCGCTGGGCACCCTTGCAGCACCCTCCATGGGAGCAGTGGTTGCATCTCCCCTTCCCCGGATGGGAGGAGCGGTGGCCAAGGAGCAGCCTGCTCCTGCCGAGCTCTTAACACCACATGAGTTTCCACAGGTTGGGAGATCAGCCTCCTCCCTGTTTCCAGGGGCTGAGTTATGTCTCCTGCACTCATGAGTCAGCAGCAGCCAAGGGGAGAGCAGAAGAGACTTCAATGCAGCACTCCCTACCTCTGGCCAGGCCACGGAGATAGCACAAGTTGTAGAGTTTTTTCCCCTTTGTTTTTTTGCAAGCTTTTTATTTTTCCAGTTCTGCCTGGGACCAAAAGACACACCAAAAGGATGAGCAATAGCAGGAGAGAAACATTATCCAAACCTCCTGCATTGCTTGGCTTGCATCTCAGGGCTGGGAAGAGGCCTGGGAGAACTCATCTACCGGCTGCAAGCCACGTGTTGGGGAGGGCTGCAGCTTACTGCTCACATGGGAAGCAGCACAGGACTCCCAGAAAGACATCTTTTTACCCAGTGCTTTTCTTTTATGCTCAGAATTTAGAAGCACAAAACAGAGAGAACCACTTAATCACCACCTGCTAGTCTAACGAGCCCAGTTCACAGCCCAGATTTATATGGGGAAGATGCAAAAGCTTTACAGAAGCCCATGAAAACAAGACATCCAGCATCTAAGCCTCCTGTTCTTTATCTCCACACATCTGCCCCATCTATGGCAACATGTCCTGAGCTTCTCCATAGCCCAGTGAGGAGCCAAGAAGGCAGCCCCATGGCTGGGAAACTGCTGGAGGAGAAAGGGGAGGCAAGTCCTTTACCTGGCCAGGCAGGGGTCATGTCCATCCCCATGCTCCCAGGTGGCTCTTGCTCACACCTGGGACCTCACGCCTGGAGCCAATAAGGCAGAGCCCAGCTTCAAATGGCACTTTCAGGCAAGGGGGGAAGGTGACTGGTGGGTGGCGGAGGGAGGGTGAAGGGAGGTGAAGGTGAGGGTGGAAAGTCTTCTCTGGAAGCACCTACATGTATGTTGTGATTTCTGAGACCTGAGATTCACTTTGGTTTCTGTACCATACCAAGACACACTCTCCTCAAAAAACTCCTTCTCTTTTTCCTCATCCTCTTAACCTCTCCCTCCTTGCCCTCCTTCCCCCCTCTCCCCAACCTGTCCCCTGTTCCTCGCAGGGGGCTCCGGCCGGATCGGGCACTCACACGTGTCTGGCTTGTGGCAGTTGTGACCTTGTCGGAAGTACTGGGGATTCTCGATGACAGGAATGCGGGTCATGCCGATCACCACCGTGTCCGGGCCAGCATCCAGGGACGAGGGCGTCGTGATGCCATGGTTGATGTGGTGGAGGGGACTGGCTGAATCCTCCTCTCCGCTGATCACTGCCACAGGACCTGCAAAGACCACCACATGTCAGGCACAACAGGGGAAAGGGCACCCGCAAGCCCTCCTGACCACGCAGGTACAGATCACTGTGGGTTGGCAGTGGGCCACCACCAGCCCCTGGACAGGATGCCTGTCCTAGCATCCCTGGCAGTTGACCCATCCCAAGGTAGCTCACAGGACAGGGAAGACACCTCAAGTTTTCCTTCCTGGTTTTGGGGTACCAGGCTGCAGGGGTTCAAGCAGCTACAGGTGGCACCACAGCAGAGGTGAGTCCTGCACAAAGCCCTCTCCTGGGGCTGTCACAAGACAGACCAGTTGGTGTGGTGCCTGGCATTATGAGCTTGGCAGAACACATAATGAAGTTTAGACTGGAGAAACATCATGCCTAAAGAAGATCTGTCACCCCAAACCCATATTCAGACCCTTCATCTTGCCCAATATACGATGCCCATCTTGTTTCCCTCCTCTAGTTTCATCCAGGCACACACCCAGAGCCCTTTGGTCAGGGTGGTATCTACAGGGACCCAGGATGTATTGGAGCACACTGACCTCTCTCCGCAGATGGCCAGCCAGAGGCCGTGCTCCAACTCCTTCAGGTTCCTGTCTGAGACCTGAATCCTCACACCCAAGTGCTTGCACCCAAAAGTATCACTGCTCCAATCTTGCCCAATGGCAGGCTTGTTCCCATAGGTAAAGTGATGAAGGAAAGAACGTCCATACCCGAGAGCCAAGGCCTGCTTCACACACAGAGCTATTTCACAATATTCAGCTATACCCTGATTCTAGGCTTATGCTTTATTTTATTTTTAGACATTCTAACTTCAGTCTCTGCTATCAGCTGCCAAGGCTGAAAAACTCAGGGGACATCAGGCCTTAATACATTATTCCCCATTTCCACCTATACTCACCTCTCCTGGGACCTGACCTACCAGCCCATGGCACAAACACCTACATCATGAAGTGAAACCCTTTAATCCATGCTGCTTAAACATGGCATCCTGAGGAGCTGAGCAACATGGGCATTGCACTGCAACCTTCCATGAGGACCACCTTTATATGTTCACATGGAAAGAAAAACCACACTCAACTAGAGATGCTCCTTTTCTTCTGTCTGGATGCTACTAGGGGCTACCAGAAGCTCAAGCGAAAACAAGCAGAGATGCTGCACTGAGGCTTGAAACCTATTTAGAGAGGCCAGTCTTTAACCTACGTTGCATAGAAAAGGCCTCTTTCCCGTCAGTAATCTACTTCTAATTGCACAATTACTTTATTATGTAGCACTAGCAACAAAGAAGGGAGTCTTCAAGCAGTTTCACTCTCCAGAGCTTCTGGGAGGGCAGGGCGAACACCGGCTCCGTGCAGTCATTCTGCCTGCATTAATCTAGTCTAAAGGCTGCTCATTTTTGGAGCTTCAAGTATTGTTTATTCTTCCAAGTGGGATATAATAAAGTTATTGTGTAATTAGCAGAGTCCTAGCAGCCGTGACAGGTGTTTTAGTCACAAGGAGAAAAACGTCTCTCCCTTTATTGTGAATTCTTTCTGGCAGGTTCTGGCTTTTTTTTTTTTTTTTTTTTTTTCACTTTACTCCCTGCGGCAGCGGCACTTCCAAGACGACATTTTTCACTTCCTGTACATGAAAGTAGATGTTTTTTTCAGAGTTCCCTTTTTACTAGTAATAATTTGTGAAAATGTGAAGATGCTGCACCATCAGAAATGGTAAATAGGCTAATGATTCACATACCTTTTTGTGTTAGCTCTGCAGTATGTTTTCAGTATGATCAAGCGAACTACAATGAGTCAAAAGGAGCTTTCCTTTTGAATTTAATAATTACAGCTGGTTTCAGTTTATACATTTGGTTAAAGATACTTTATAACGTTTTTTTTTTTTTTTTTTTTTTAACATTACTCCCTGGGCCAGCGTGACTTCCAGCTTTTGAGACACAAAGGCAAAATTCAGCTCTTGCCGCAAGATGCCTCTGTTGGGACTACGCAGGCTGCATTTCTCCAAACACCAGCAGCAAACAGGCAGTTTCAGTTTGAATGACTTTTGTTCTTCCACATTGTAAAGTCTCTGCATGCAAACCAGAACATGCAAACGTGCACAGTGTGCACGTCCTTTTGGCGGTACCCTGCACCACTGCATGGCCTGGCAGCGGTGGGAAGGAGAGACCTCTGCATTTCAAGGTACTGTTCCCAGAACAGGTCAGAAAAATACCAGCTGGTATAGACGGGTGTAAATAGTTTGAGGGGAGATCATAAAGATGTCTCTTGCAGTGGAGCAGATGGAGAGGCTATTGAGGGATTATTACTTTCCCTAAGCAGCCAAGGTGTTACTTCAAAGGAAGGTGTACCGAATCACGCAGTGGGATGTGAAAAGCCTTTCTAGTGAATGATATGAAAGAAGTCTTCATTGTCCTCTGCTTTGAGAGCACAAATCACACCTTTGTGACAAGGGGCAAAGAGGACGTCTCCTACAGCATTAGTACTGGAAGGAGATGGTTGGTTTCATAAGCAACCACGGGACGTTCATCAGGCTGGCGCAGACCCTGCTGGTAGTTCTTGGGGGCTCACAAAGCCCTGCCAGCATGTAAGTCTCGCTGGCATTGCTTCCACAGCACCTCCTCATTTTTAAGTAACACAGATCACAGCAGTGTCCCTCTGGCACAAGCAGGTTAAAAGGACGTGGCATGATCAAGGAGGTCAGATCCTTGTGAAATGAAGCACAGCCAGCATCTATTACTCCATGTTCTGATGGCAATTTCCTTGCCAACAAACAGATCCAGTTGCCTCTAAGCACACAGCCATTCTGTTGCCCCTCTGAGACTCAGGCAAGCACTGGACTCTGCACAAGCCTGAGACAAACTTTAAAAACATCATTGATACCAAGCCATCACTGATCACTTTTATAGGTTTGACTATTGCTCTGACACTCAAAATATATACTGCCATTAGTAACTCCTGGAAATAAAGCAGCTACCTAGACTTCAACTTTTTAAATCTGTCTTGGCAATAACATATTTTTTGCCATTAAGTAGGTAAAGAGGTTGATTTTCTGATGTATAATGATGACGAATGGCTTTATTTGGAAGAATTCTCACCGACTTCAGCAGTGCATTTTCAAGGTAAGGTTAAATGGAAAAAATGGAGTCAAAAGAGAAAGAAACTACAGATTTTAAGATTTAAGTTTGCTTTCCGCTTGACAGAGAAATGGGCAGAAGAATACAGAAAATAAGCCAGTTTTCTACTGTAAAAACGCAGGATAATAGTCAAGGGTAGCCTGGGGTAACTCTTGATATACCATTCTACAACCTTAAAACGCAATATAAAATATTTTGGAGTTCCTCTGGAACTTAAAATCTAAAGAATAGCTGTTTCTGTGAATAACTCAGCCTGTGTTATGGACAAACATACTGTGGATATTAACTATAAAAAGAGTCTATTTGTTAACACTTTAACAAGCCTTCATACATTCTGAGCATCAAAAACGTTACATCTATACTCTGAAAGGCTTTCGATGCCTCTCCTTCCATCCAAGCAGGTTTCTCACCAGCCAGCAGCACCCACACTGTCTGCAAGGACAGAGTTCAGCTGCTCCCCACACTAACCCCAGGCAGTTTTCCTGCCAGGGAAGAAATGTCAACAGCAGCCATGGAGCCAGAGAGCTTCAGGGAAAGGCTGGGGAGATATTAGGACTGCCCAGGTCTACCCCTGGGTGAAGAGGTGGTCAGCCCTACTTCAGCCCAGCATTACAGCCACTGCCAACCTGCCCCTTTACAGTGCCAATGGGAGAGTCAACCGCAATGACCAGAAAATCAGGATCAAAATGAATCTGATGTTAACAAAAGAGCAGCGAGGCAGCCTGAAAATGTTGCTTTTGGAAACATCACAGGGAGTAATGCTCTTCTCCCTTCCCTCCCACACCTCCTCTACAGCCAACTCATCTTTCCCAAGAAAGACCCCTCATTTAAACACCACCATTCCTGGCCTCATCTCCACCCTCTTTCCTCCCTCAGCCTCCTGGTCAGGCTATACTCCATCCATCCCAGCAATGTCCCAGCTCTTCTTGCTTTGTATCCATCCTGATATTATCATCTCTCCAAATATTGAGCAAATACTCTTCCAGATTGCCCTCCAGTTTCTACTTTTCAGAAAATCTCCGATTGTTCTCTATTCAGCACTCTTCCCTATGGCCAAACTGGAGTTTTGCTTGGTGTTTTCCTTCATCACCTCATTTATCTGGAAGCCCTGTGAAACAGGATATACCTTTTAGTCCATGTCTGTGAATCACCTAGTTCATTCACAGTGTTATACGGACAATTTGCTACTTAAGAAAAATAAAGCAAATAATAATAAATTGCTTAGGGAGCTCCTATTTGCATGATCATATCATAATGGTAAATTATTTATCAAGGCTAAGAGCTATATTTTCTGATAAAACACAGGCTCAGAAATATAGGGTACTTTATAAATAACCACAGATTGGAGAAGATAAGATAATGGTCACTTCATGTATATCTGTAACATAATGAATGCTGCAAGGCAGACAGGTGAAAAACAACAAAAACTCCAGCTTGCTATCACAGTAACCTCTCCAAAGCAACAAAAATGATCGAAGGTGTAGAAAACATGACCTCCAAGGGAAAACTGAAAGAATTATGCTTTGTGTTGAGAGGAGAAGACTGAAGGCACACGTGATAACAGCCTTCAAATATGTAAAAGGTTGCAGCAAAGAGAAATATAATAGCTGTTCTCCGGGTCCACTGGGGATAAAACAAGAAATAATAGGTTTAAATTGCACTAAGGGAGATTAGGGTTTGAATGTTTTCCCTAATGCCTAGCAGTACGGATGGTTGAGCACTGAAACAGATAACCCAGGGATGCTGCAGGGGCTCAGCCGCTGCCGGGCTGGGAAGGGAAAGGTTAAAGAAACTTCTTTCAAGGACTTTTTAACTACAGGGCCTGACACTGCTCAGAACTCTCCCAGGCTGCAGCACTTTCCACCTGCACC